GTACATGTGTGATGGACCCATGCCTCTGAGATCATTTCTGGATATATGCAACAAAGAAAGGAAACAAGGCAGAAATGTTCTCTAGAAATTGATAAGCTACAGCCCTTGGGCCAAACCTGGCCGATGATGACATTTTTAGCAGCCTCAATGAAAAAAATGTACATAACATGTAAGCTACCCGTATAAACATACAGTTCTTTAATTTTTGGTAATGGGGATTTTGTTTATTTTTATTTTTAGATAGAGTCTCGCTAAATTTTTAAATAGAGTCTCTTGCTTAGTGGCCAGGCTGGCTTCTAACTTGTAATTTTGCTGTCTCAACCTCTGAGAATGCCAGGATTGCAGATGTGTGCCACCATGCTTAGTTCAGTGGGTTTTTAAAGTATATTTTCAGTGTCATGCAGTGATTACAACAATCTTAATTTTAAATGATTTTCATCCCCACTGAAAAACACTCCATATCAGGAATATAAGTCAGATTACACATTTAGACTTTTTGATAGTCTCAGAATCACTTTCATGTCCTCACCTGCATTTTAAAATTCAAGTCTTCATGTAGTTCTGAAGCCCTTTATGCATTGAGATTAGCTGTAGTCAACTTTCTCACAGATGGCATTACACATCACTTTCCAACCCAATAACAAATCTCCATTCCTGTCCAGCTGTGCTGCTGAACGTCCTTTGATACATAAGCAGTTGTGTACTGCAGTTTATCTTTGTTCAAACGGAAGTGTCCTGAAACAATTTTTCACTTTCTATCTCTTGAACCTCAGCTTGCATTTACTCTATTCCATAATCTAGTGACGAGCATCCCCAAAATCGTTATCTAAATTGGACATTAAGTGGTATTGAAACACTGCAAATATTACATATTTCCCTATTGCTTTATTGTTTATTCTTTTCCAGAATTTTGTTGTTGGGGCTTCTGAAGTCCATCATTCTCTGTTAAAATTCTTCGTGTTTCAGGCTAAAAGCAAATATACATCTGATGCAGAGACTTAAAATAGTAACAGAACATGTCCCTCCAGGAGGTCAAAGAAGTGGGAGTTCACTTAAAGAGTTATGGGGAAGAGTCATACTAATCTTGTTCTCCTATAGCTGCTGTACATTTATTTATATCCCTTTTATTTTCCTGTCTTTTGTTACAGAATGTGTTGCTCATATTGACGCTGAGCCATTACCACCCGGGTATTTTCACCTGTATCCTGAACCTGCATAATGTTCTATATAATGTGTGCCCCTCCGGTTAGGGATTCTCTTAAGGGGTGAAGAGTCTATGTGAGCAGATCATAGCAATAAACACCCACACTTGGTGTATTACCGTTACGCTGACTCCATTCTAGCACTTCCTCCACCATCGGTGGCCACACGTGGCCCTTCTCAAACTTGTGATGGCTGAGCAGTAATCAAACATCATCTGGCAGAGATGCAGCTTGTAAAGCCCACCCCGACTGCCCCTCTCATATATGCTGTCTACCCTCAGCTCAGCTCTATAGGATACCAGGGATGTTTGTGATTTAAGGTCGCCATGGGTCAGAAGGCTGGAAATTCTGTGCAGTGTTGCTCTCTGATATTCAGAGTATTTAGAGCCAGTGCATTCTAGACCCATAACTCCCCCAGGAGATTTTACATGGCAGTGAGTGGTGCCAGGATCTGGGTAAGTGACACTGCGGGTGTTAAGCACTCGTGGATGGTAAGCACATTGCCTTATGTCCTGTTCCTATTTTGAAGACAGACTCTAAGTTTGACCCTTTTGGTCCCATCTCCTGATGTTCACATCTTCCTGCAATCCCCATGCCCCTAAATGTGCATGGGGCCTATGACTTGCTCCTAAAGAACAGAACAGGGCAAAGGTGATGAGGTGCCACACCTGAAACTGTGATTATATTGTTTCATCAGAGTCCATCTTGACAACAGATGGGAGGCTCTCTTGCCTGGCTTGATGAAATTAGTGACATGTTAGGAAAACCCACCTCACTAGGAGTAAAAGTGGCTTCTAGGAACTTTGGACAGCCTCTAAGAGAAAAGGGCAATTTCCTGGCTACAACCAACAAGGAGCCAGGGGCCCCAGCCTTACATGTGTGGGCAAATGAATTCTTTCAATGACCCAAGTGGTCACAGAACTGGATTCTTCTGCGTTGAGAACATCATGATTTCTTAATTCTGACCAATGTCTTGACTTGAGGATTGTGCCACCCTGAGCAGAGGACCCTTTTAAGCCATGCCCAGATTCCAGACTCACAGAGACTGTGTGAAACAAATGTGTGGTGGCTCAGGCCAAACAAAACTGGAACCTCACCAGTGGTGTGATGTTAAGCATGGAAGTAAACTTAGATTAGGAAGGGATGGGGAGAGGGATGGCTAGGTCTTCTCTCAGAGTATGGATTTCACACAGTGTTTAATTGTCAAGTGTGTTGATGTACAATGCACATTCAATAAAATTCACACTTCTTATATATAAAATTCAATGCTTTTTTGGTGTAACTGGGGAGTGAACCCAGGGCCTTGTGCATGTTAGATTATCCTTCTAGTCCTGAGCTACATATCCTGCCCAAGTTCAAGAATTTTGACATATATATACAGTCATTAGAACCACTGTAATCAAAACATTTGAAGTTTTTCTCTTCTTACCGAGTACCTTCATGTACACTTTCTGTCAGACCCTTGCCCTTACTCCCAGGTATACACAGATAGGATTTTCATCTGTAGGTTTGTCTTTTCCTAAAAGCATATGAGTGAAATAATTTACCGTGTGGTCTTTAATACTTGTCTCTTTTCACTCAGTGTAATTTTTAAAAAAACCTTTGGAGTTGTTGCAGCCACCAGTAATTTACTCCTTTTTGTTCTTGAACTTATTTACCAGGGCAACAGCTAAACTCAAGAAGGTGAGAATCTAAGAGTCCCAACCTAGGTACTTTTGCCCTCAAAAATAGAGCAGACTTGCTAGATCCATCCTTCTTTTGTTAGCCCCAAGTCTAGTGATGCTCTTGGAAAACATTCTTATTTGCTGTGGTCAAGTGTATTCACTAGTGGAAGAATACAGTGAGTCCCAGACTTATGAACATTAGAGTTGTTAACTTTCACAGATAGGAAAGGACCTTGCATTATGAACATTTGTAGATGCGAACAAATCGTGGACATAGCTCATGTGTCTGCCAGACATTGTCATGGCTGTGCTGCTGTGTGCATACTGTAGAGTGCGATAGTGTACAGTAGTACAGTATTCAATCAGAGCCCAGGGTGTCTGGAAGCAAGAGGAAAAGCAGTGGTGATGTGGAAGGGACTGCTAGGAAGTGCAAAACAATAACTCTGGGGGCAAAAAGTGAAAATAATTGAGAGATTGGAAAAGATGGTAGATGTTGCTCTGTCTTTACAGATGTACTGTACCACCATTTTAAGGTAACTGTAAAAGTAGTTTATTTACAGTATGTGTTTGGTTTGGTTTTTGTATGCTTTATATTGTATATTGTATATTTGTGTCAAAGGTGTATAAGATTCACTTTGTCAGACTGAACAAATGAATCTGACTTACAAACATTCTCCAGTCCCACAAATCATTGATAATTGATGAAATGTCTAGGACCTATGAGTACTTCCAGCTGCAATTTTTATGAATTATGTAAATGCTGGGGCCTTCTCTTTAGTTGAAGGACCCCAGCTGCTTGCCCTCTGGATAAACTAAAAAGAGTTGGATTAGATCAGGCCTAATCCCTATTTACAGCAAGGTAGCCTAAGGCAGTGTGGGTAGAGGCTGAAACTCTGGGGTGGTATCCTCAGAGAGAAAACCTCAGATTCAGAGCATGATCAGCTGAGTGTTGGTCAAAACAAATTTGAGAAGAGAAATTATCTTCTGGATCTCTGCCTATTTTTAAGGGATCTCACCACTTCCTATCTGTGCCTACGCCCAGATATCATGTTGTGCTACCTTAAATTATATGATCATATTTCCCAAACTGCTTCAGAGAATACTAGATCAAAGTGATATTGATAATTGTCCTATCAAAAGTACTCTGCCTTGGTTTGAATTTGACCTCCAAAGTTCACTTATGGGAACATTAGCTCTCAACTGAACAGTGTTGGAGAGGTGAAATCTTTGAGAGATGATTAGGTCATGAAGACTCTTGACCTTATACGGATTAATGCTATTGTCTTGGGAGTGGGTTCCTAGTAAAGAGGATGAGTAAACCCCTTCCTTTCTATGCGCATGCATGAATAAGAAGAATAAAATCAGATAATAGTTCAGAAAGACATGCTATCAAAATAGAAAATCATTTAAAAATATAAAGAAAAAAAAAAACTTGAGCCAAGCATGGTGGTGCACGCCTGTAATCCCAGCACTCCGGAGGCTGAGGCAGGAGGACTGCTGTGAGTTTGAGGCCAGCCTGGGCTACATAATGAGTTCAAGGTCAGCCTGAACTGCATAGAGAGACCTTGTATCAAAAAAGAGAAAAAAATATGTAGAGAGAGAAGAATGTTGTTCTTCATCAGGCGAGCGGCCAGACCCAACTGCCGTAAAAGCAAGAAGTCTCCTTGACAAAGTCTAGAGTCTTGTCAACTCTTGCTCAAACTCTGGCTAGAACTCAGGAAGACTGAAACCAGAGTGTTGAGGTGGCTCCGACCTTATGAACCCTATTCTTCCATGGACCCTGAGTAAAAAGGGCCGCTTATTGAAGGGAAGGCAGCAGGGACAATCTGGATGTGCAAAACTTCGCAAATCTTGTGTAGAAGACCTTTATACTAGGAGTCATTAGGCTACATCTCTCCCAGGGGACAAAGTTTGCAGGGCTCCTCCAGGCTTCCAGGAGGCCTGGAGCCTCGGTGGCATTAAGTTTTTCTTGCATCCAGTGCCAACTTGGAGCAGAAGGCCTATTTTTCCGTGATGCAAAGGACTCGTGAGACTTCCAAGGTAGTCTGGCAGAGGAAGGGAGGTGGCTGGGAGTGGCTGTCTCGAAGCTACCGGAAATGCATCTTTCTTTTTCCGGTTGGACTTCCATCCGCAGCCCTCAACCCGAGATTGGCAAGTTGGGTCTTGGGGAGGTGGAAGGTTCAGGACGGGGACTGACTTTCCAAGGCCCCTGCGTTCCCGAAACCCCGGCGCTCCCATTCGGTAAGCATCGCGCGCTTTTCCTGACATCGCCTCTGCGAGTGGCATGGGAGCGGAGTTTCGCTCTGTAGAGCAGCGGGGAGGCGTGGTGACTTTATAATCGGGTTGAGGAAAGGTAAAGTGGCCTCCAAAGAAGCCAGAATTGACTGGACATAACCGAGAAGCTGCCTTTCCCTTTCATTTCGGTCGGGGAGCCTCCGAGTGACTCCGCCGCTCCTGCTAGTTGCAGCCTCTGCGGCTGCGGAGTGGCGGTGAGTGGGGGCGGGGCATAAGGCGAAGCTTTTTTCGGAAGGCCGTGGCTTCGTTGCTAGGCGGCAGGTTGACTGGAGAGCGGGCGGGATCTGTCCTCTGCGAGGCCCAAAGGCCACTTGTAATCTGCAGAAACAGCTTCTTTGTACATTTTGTGCAAATGCAAATGGTGAAGCATACTCGTGGGCTGGGGCATGCTGAGTGATTAGGGGCGTCCCTGTGGCCTAGAATTTGTGGTGGGACGGGGCAGTAACATCCAGCACTGCACCCAGTTCAGTGTGTCGATAGCCACTGGCTTATGATCATAGCCCTGGAGAAGAAGCCACTCCAGCCTTAAACACATTGGCTTCTGCTGACACAGGAGGTGTCCCTTATCTCATGAGCCTGGATGGACAGCAAGGAGCCAACCATTTCCTTCAATATCCATGGCATCCCCGAAAAACTTTTCTGACTGTTTCTGTGAATCACGTGGGGGAGAATCAAGCTGTGAGGGCTGTCTCCGCTTTGAGGATACATGTGAAGTCCTATCTTGAGGAAATGTAAAAGTAAGGAGAAGAGTTACCCTTACTCAGGCCCTTCTTGTCTATAAGAATCGTAATCATCACCATCTCTCTTTTTTTTCTTAACAACATTTGGATTTCTTGTAAACACAGGCCAGCTGTAAGTTTTTCCAGTTAACGTAAACAAATAATTTAATATGCAGGTACAAATTTGTACGGGGCCCCTTATCAGTCTTCCAAAAGTAGTGTGACCCCTCCCAAATATTGATGATCTTATTGCCTAGTGAAAGGAAATTTGCTGAGAGCAATATTGTTATTTTTTCCCTTATGTCTCTGATCTTGTGCTGTCCCAGTTTTCCTACTAGTATTTATAAAATGGAAATGAGAATATCAGATGGTCCATGAAGTAATGGCTTTAATCTTCATGAGAGGATGAAGAGACATAGAAGTTATTTTTCTACTGACTAATGGCAAAAGACATGGATGATCTGTTAAAATTTAGAGAAACTCAAATATGCCCTATTTGTGAAGATCAGATAGGAAACACAGGTTAAGTACTGGATCTCTCAAACCTTCTTTTGGCTAGTGGGTACCTTTTTCCCCACCAACCTTTCCTAAGCTGCTAAGACAAAGGTGGCTGCGGGGGATATAAGGCCTAATTTTGACATTTGTCTTCTATAAATTGGGCTTTGTTTCAAAGTTGAGTAATAAAGAAAAGGAGAGCAACATACCTCCTTAAATAATCTATCATAGTGAGGGCCCTAATACTTGGCAGTTGATTTTATATTATTTTTAAATTAATTAATTTATTTTTGTTTAGTTTTTTTGAGCCAGTGTCTCACTGTGTAGTTCAGGCTGGCCTTGAACTCACTATATAGCCCGGGCTGGCCTCGAACTTGTGGTAATCCTCCTGCCTCAGCATCTTGAATGCTGGCAGTTAGTTTTAAAGGGGAAACAAGGCAGGAGCTTCTCACTTCATTTAATATGTGCCATATGACTTTCTCCTTGACGTGTACTTTCTTTTTCTCCTCTCCCTTAGTGCTCTTGGAAAGAAGATCCATTCACTGGTTTTGTAGCAAACCTAATGGGGCTTCAATTGTCACAGGTGGCACCAGTGGGGTGTCAGTGTCACATGCAGGAGTAAAACTGTTGCTAGACAAAATGATGACCAGTGAGTTGAAGGAGGATGCATGTTTGAACCCCCACATGGGGGCTGTTTGGGAGACTAAAGGATCTGTGAAAGACAGCTCCAGTCAGAGTAAGCAAAACAGCCTACAGATAAAACATCTTTGTCCTGAGAGTGCTCGCCAGCACTTCCGGAGCTTCTGTTTTCGTGAAGCACCTGGACCGCTAGAGGCTGTCAGTCAACTTCAGGAATTATGCCATCAGTGGCTGAGGCCAGAGATCCACTCAAAAGAGCAGATCTTGGAACTGCTGGTGCTAGAGCAGTTCCTGACCATTCTGCCCAGGGAGATCGAGAACTGGGTGCAGAAGCATCATCCACAGAACATCAGACAGGCTGTGGTCCTGGTAGAATGCTTGCAGAGAGAATCGGGTGGAACAAAGAATGAGGTGAGAAGAAAGATTCCTTATACGGTATGTACAATGAAATAGTATAGGGGTAGATATGTCTGGGTGGGGGCTTATCAGGGAATGAGATGGATCAAGTCACATTTTTCTTGTTCCGTTAGGAGAGCCAGGCAGGATCTGAAATCGCAGTCATACAGCAAAGAGTCCACAGGTTTCAGAATTGCTGATAGAGTCTTTCCTGGGCTTAGAGGAAAAAAAAAATACAGTTTTCTCTCTTTAGGGCCAGGATGAATTGACGGTGGTGAGCCTAGTCTGGCATGGAAAAGGAGACAAGACCTGAGTTCTTAGGAACAGAAATAAAAGACAAGAAAGAGTTGAAAAGTGGGAAACATTTCAAAAGCTGGACAGCGCTTAACAGAGACCAAAGGAAAGTGAGGGTAGCAAACAGAAGTATAAATCAAACAACTCTGGGTAGACTGCAAAGGAAGAGAAGAAATGGAAAGCAAAAAGGGAAACAATTATATGCACAGAAGAAAATGCCAACAGACAAGTGGAGGGAATCAGGATGCTGGGAGCTTGTATCCTCTGTAGCAGGAACACAGGCCTTTGGGCTGGGAGAAAAAGCCTCCACTGCCCTCACGTAGAGGGAGCACCTGTCCTTGGCACTGCTAGTGACTGGGGAACCAAGGTAGGCCCTTGGGAAATGGCAGCATGCTACTTCTCTTCAGCAGCCCACCTTGCCACCTTGAAGACAAGGCAGAGCATATTTTTGGTGTCTTGCTACAACCAAGTCATTCCCTTTCTCCATTACATCCTTCTTTGGCTATAAGAAGGTTGAAAAATCTGGCTGACAGGAAAACTTATATTTAATTCCCTATCTTTTAGAGAGAATGCAAAGATAGAAATCCACTAAGGCAGGGATCCAAGACAAGAAAGCAAGCCAACAAGAGCAGTGTGAGAATAGATAACCTTCCCAAACCTGCTAGTGGCTTGAACTGTGACTTTGTCTACAGGGGTGGGGGCTGTTGGGTTGGGGAGGCTGGAAGTAGTCAGCATTATCCTTTTTATCTTAATGTTCCCATATTCTGAGAGCATAGTGACACAATATCTCATCAGTCTTTTTTTTACTTCCCAAACCTGGGCTCTGCTCCCTCTGCCACCTCCCCTAATCCAAAAGCAAGTTCTGTGCTAATGAGGATGGGGATTATTTCTAGGTCACAGCCCATGAGCTGGGAAGGGTGGCAGTGCTCTTGGGAGGAACAGCAGTGGCCCCAGGCTTCAAGTGGAAGCCAGCAGAGCCCCAACTACTGGGTATGTTCCAGAAAGAATGTTGCAATACTTACCAGGTACTATAAGAACTGCTGGGCTGGCGTACTCACAGAGAAACCCAGCCTGTATATAAAAGAGGCGAGGCGCTTCATAATGTTTCTCCTGGGAGCTGTGATAGCAGTTGGTTCAGCTAGAATGGTGTATAGTGATGGCGAACCTTTTAGCGCTTTCAGTGATAACAGCGCACTGCAGCTGCCGAAGGTTTGCCACCACCTCTGTAGGAGATTTGCCGGTGCCCAGCCATGCACCATTATGTTTCCTGGGTGGGAATGTAGCAGGTAGCTGAAGGTTGGAGGTGGTCTGAGTTGTAACAGTTATCCAAGTGACAGAACCCTGATATTTACACCATGATCTTTGCTCCTCAGAAATTTGAGAGGAAAGAAAATGGAACGTGGACAAGTAGGGCCTTCACGCCTTTGTAAGTGACAAGAGAAATTTAGATTAGGAATGTGCCATCAAGTGGCAGAATGTGAAGAACCGTGTGTACCAAGAATAAAATAAGACAAGATAAAAATCTCCTTTATTTCTTACTGTACACCAGAGGACTTGAATCCTTCATTTTCACATACCACTAATTCTTGCCCAGCTTAATGAATAATTTATTTTATGCGATTTAATATATTTTATAGATTTTCTTTTATTAATTTACCTCATGAAATCTGGAGAAATAGTAATCTGGGGAACTGGCTCTAGGACTGGTGGATATATGCTTTTATTTCCCTTGAGAGGACCACTTCTGGACATCATACACATGTTTGTCCCAGTGATCCATCTTTACCAAAGGTGTCCTGATATTCTGTATTTTAGAAATCAGATTAGGATGTTCATAAACAGAAAAGAGAAATTTTCTCTGGCTCTTTTCCACCCACAGCTGTGCACACTCCACAGATTTTAGGCCTTTCTGGGCAGAAAAGCACCAAACACTGGAAGATGGCATCTGAGCTCATCTTGCCTGAGTCCCAGGTGAGCTGTACTTTCTAGCTTTTTCAGGTGGCCCTGTTTCTGCTCTTCCCTGCTGCCTATCACGTGTTCTGCCCCACAGGTGTTCTACAGTGTCTTAGCCCCAAATATTCTCCAGGAAGCTAGTGAATGGGAATTAGGTACCTCCCAGGCTGTTTACTGATCTGCTTGGCTCCTTCCTTTCTGCCATCTCATTCTTCCCCCCTAAATCTTGTACTGTTAATTTCTTCGGCATCTGTCCTACCATATAATTCAGAGATGGGTGATTAGAACTCTTCTGTAGTGGCAGGTACTAAACTAAAGCCCATTGCCTTCTTTAGAATCTGTTGACATTTGAAGATGTGGCCGTGTATTTTTCTGAAGAAGAATGGCAGTTATTGGACCCTAATCAGAAGGCTCTCTACAATGATGTAATGCAGGATACCTATGAGACTGCCTCCTTTCTAGGTAAAGATTTTTCCTTCTCTTTGTGTACAAGTTGAATAATATGTTGTGTCCTTAGGTTATGGAAATTGCACCCCTCTGTTCCAGCAGCTGGTTGTTCTCAGCCTGATAATGTGAGGTAAAGCGAAAGTGTATCCAGATAATTTTTAATAAATATGCATGTGTCGCTTCCTTATTCCAAATAGAATTATTGATCCGTCATACCCTCGCTCTCTGTAAACCTGCTTTTGCCTTATCTTTCCCATCTCAGTAAAGGATGCAAGCATTTACCCAACTGCTCAGGCCGGAAACCTCAGTCACCCTGTACAACAGTCTTTCTGTTATACTCCGCGCTCATCTATTAGCAGATCTTCACTCTGTCTTCCCAATATAGCCTGAATCCAGCCATATTCCAGCCTCTTCCAATCTCGCTATCCTAGTTGAATCCACTCTCCTCTAATCAAGTCTATCTTCAATAGCACTGGATGCCCGGTCCCCATATCATTTGTGCCTATCTTCCTTAGGCTTACTCCCTAGCTTCCTCATTGCATATCCACCCACAGACACAGTGGAGTATAAATAAATTATTGATCCAAGATTTTGCCCACTTAAACATTTGGAAATTTAAAAAGTATGAAAGAGTCACTTACTCTTCCTGAAAAGAATATGGAATTAAAATGGCAGTTCGTGACTTCAAAATTTTATTCTCAAAGCATTATTGCTACACTTTAAAGTTAAAGTGATTTGTTTGGAGCAAGGAGAAGAACCATAAATCCAAAGTCTCCAAGAATTCAAGGACAGTCTTAGAGATTTCCTGTAGGTAAGTATATACATGAGAAAAGGAGAAACGTTCTTGGATAGGAATATTTACTTGACTAACATTTTAGGATTCTGTTCCTGTATTATTATTATTATTATTTTGGTACTGGGGATCGAATTCGGGTCCTTGCACTTTCGAGGCAGGTGGCGGAACCACTGAGCTAAATCCCCAGCCCCTGTTCCTGTATTTTTAATTGAAGTTTTTATTGAGATCATTGTAGATTCACATGCAGATTAAAATGTAATATACAGAGAATCTATGTACGCATCACTTAGTTTCCTGTAATAACTTTTGCAAAAATACTATATTACAATAAGATACCAATCCTGATGTAACCTACTGATCTTATTCATATTTCCCCAGTTTTACTTGAATTACTTTGTGTGTGTGTGTGTGTGTGTGTGTGTGTGTGTGTATTAGTTCTATATGTTTTTTTTTTTTCAGTACCAGAGATGGAACTCAGGACCTTGCACTTGTGAGGCAGTCGCGGCGCCACTGAACTACATCCCCAGCCCATTTCTATATGCTTTTATCACATGTAGCTTTGTGCATTCACCACTGTAGTCAAAATATAGTCAAAATCCATTACCATATGGATCCCTCTATTGCCTTTTTATAATTGCACCTACTTTCCTCTCACATCCCAGTAACTCATACCATTAATATGTTTTACATTTTGAAAATTTTGCTATTTGAAAAATTTTATATGGGCAGAATTATAAAATATGTAGCTTTTTGGATCAGCTTTTTAAAATTTATGATAATTCCCTGGAAATTCATTTAAGTAGCTGCATACATCAATACCTAATTTCTTTCTAATTGTTGAGTAGCATTCCCTATCACTGTTTAAACATTCACTCACTGAAAGATATCTGGCTTGGCCAGGGGATTTAGCTCAGTGGTGTTGCACCTGCCTTGAAAGAGCAACGTCCTGAGTTTGATCCCTGGTACCGGAAGAAAAAAAAAAGATATCTGGCTCTATTTTTGGGTATTTGAATATAGCTGCTAATACATTTGTGTACAGGTTTTTCTGTAGAGTTTTAATTTCCCTGGGATAAGTACTTCAAGGGTACAATTGCTCATTCATATGATAATTACATGTTTAATTTATAGGAAATTGGCAAACTTTTCCATATGACTGTAGCATTACATTCCCTCTAACAATATATGAACAATTCAGTTTTTCTAAATCTTTTCCTGTGCTTAATGTCAGTATGTTTTATACTTTTAGCCATTCTGATAGGTGTGTAGGAATACCACATTATGGTTTTGGTTTGCATTTCCCTAATGGATAAAGATGTTTTATATCTTTTCATGTGTTTATTTGCTATCTCTGTATCCTCTTCAGTGAAGTGTCTTTTGCCTGTATTTTATTTGGATTTTTTAACAATTGAGTTTGAGTATTCTTTGTATTCTAGATTCTCATACTTTGTCAGTTGTATGGTTTGCTGTCAGTTTCTCCCAGTGTGTTTATTGCCTTTAACCTCTTGCCATAGGTTTCCATAGAGTAAAGTTTTCATTTTGATGAGAACCAATTTTTTTCTGTTATACATCATAATTTTGGTGTCAAGTCTAGAACTCTGATTAGCTTTGCCCTAGGTCCCTGTGATTTTCTTCTAAAACTTTTATAATTTTATGTTTTACATTTAACTCCACGATCCATTTTGATTTAATTTTATATAAGGTATGAGGTTTAGGTTGAGGCTGTTTTTGCCTATGGAAGTCCAGTTGCTTTAGGATCATTTGTCATTTGTTAATTGCTCCATTGAATTGCTTTTGTGGTTTTTGACAAGGATGAGTTGGGCATGTTTGTGTATTTCTAAACTATTCCATTGAGCTATATGTCTCTCTTACTATTGCACGCTCTTGATTATTGTAGTTATATTGGAAGCTTTAATGTCTGTTGAGCAGAGTGATTTCCCCTATTTTATTCTCCTTTTAGCTCTGGTAGGGCCTGTGCTTTCCACGTAAATTTCAGAGTTAGCTTATCTATGTCTAAAATGAACTTTGTTGAAATTTTGCCAGAAATTACATTAAACGTATACAAATCAATTTGAAGATTGATGCCTAATTATTTAGGTCTTCTTTTATATCTTTCAGCAACTTTTTGTAATTTTTAGTGTATATATAGTCTACATTTTTAAAGTATATGGCTAAGATTTTCATTTTCATTGGAATAATTGTAAATGATGCTATTTTAAATTTTGGTTTTTGCATATTTACTGTTTTTATACAGAAATGCCATGGATCTTGTATCTTGTGACTATTCTGAATTCATTTAGTAATTCTAAGTCTTTTTTTATTTGTAGATTTTATGGGATTTTCTACACAGGCAATTATAAAATCTAGAATGCTTTTTATTTCTTTTGCTTGCCTTATTACACTAGATTCAGCTTCTAATACTATATTGAATTAAAGTAGTAAGGGAAGACAACCTTGCCTTGTTCTCAGATTTAGCATGAAAACATTCAGTCTTTCATCGTTACCTGTGATGTTAGCACTGGGCTTTTTGTTTGTTTTTGGTAACAGGGATCCAACTCGAAACCTTGCGCTTTCCAGACAGACGCCCGACCCACTGAGCTAAATCCCCGGCTCAGCACTGGGCTATTTTTTTGTTTTTCTTTTTTTGTTTCTTTGATACCAGGGATCAAACTCGGAAACTTGCGCTTTTGACACAGACGCGGCACCCACTGAGCTAAATCCCTGGCCCAGCACTGGGCTTTTTTTTTTGTTTTTCATTTGGTTGTTTTTTTGGTACCAGGGATCGAACTCGGAACCTTGCGCTTTCCAGACAGGCTCCGCACCCACTGAGCTAAATCCATGGCCCAGCACTGGGCTTTTTTTTGTTTTTGTTTTTGTTGGTTTTTTGATACCAGGGATCGAACTCAGAACCTTTCCCTTTCGAGACAAGCACCCGACCCACTGAGCTAAATCCCCGGCCCATCACTGGGCGCTTTTTTTGTTTTTGTTTTTTGTTGTTTTTTTGGTACCAGGGATCGAACTGGGAACCTTGCGCTTTCCAGGGAGGCACCGGACCCACTGAGCTAAATACCTGGCCCAGCACTGGGCTTTTTTTTTGTTTTTATTTTTGGTGTTTTTTGGGTACCAGGGATCAAACTCAGAACTTTGCGCTTTCGAGACAGGCACCCGACCCACTGAGCTAAATCCCCGGCCCAGCACTGAGCTTTTTAATTGACACTCTTTATCAAGTTGATATAATTCTTAGCTTGATGAATTTTTATGATGAATGGATGTGGGAATTTTTGAAATAATTTTTTCCTGCGTCAATTCATAGCAGCATATTCCTTCTTTAGTTTGGTGAAATGGTGGATTATGTTTATTTTTACATGATGAACAAGACTTGTATGGGTGTAATAAATTCTGTTTTGTCATGGTATGTAATTCAGTTGCATTAAGTTAATATTTTGTTGTCAATTTTTGTATTTTAATTTGTAGGAGAAGTTAGAATAATTTTCTGTTTTAGTATTGTCTGTATGATTTTTGTATCAGCATAATACTGGTCTTACAAAATGAGTTGGGTGATGTTTCCTCCTCTTTTGTGGAACAGATTATAAATACTTGTTGTTAATTCTTTTCTTTTTTGTTTTTTTTTTAATACGGGGGATCTCACTTGGAACCTTGTGCTTTTGAGGCAGGCACCAGACCCACTGAGCTACATCCCCGGTCCAGCACTGGGCTTTGTTTTGGTTTTGTTTTTCTTGTTTTTTTGGTACCAGGGATCGAATTCGGAACCTTGGGCTTTTGAGGCAGGCACCGGAACCACTGAGCTAAATCCCTGGCCAAGCACAGGGCTCTTTGTTTTTTGTTTTTTTGGTGTTTTTTTGGTAGCAGGGATCAAACTCGGAACCTTTCCCTTTCCAGACAGGCGCTGGACCCACTGAGCTAAATGCCTGGCCCAGCACTGGACTTTTTTTTGTTTTTGTTTTTGGTGGTTTTTGGTACCAGGGATCAAACTCAGAACCTTGCGCTTTTGAGACAGGCGCCAGACACACTGAGCTAAATCCCCGGCCCAGCACTGGGCTTTTTAATTGACATTCTTTATCAAGTTGATATAATTCCTAGCTTGATGAATTTTTATAATGAATGGATGTGGGGCTTTTTGAAAAAATTTTTTTCTACGTCAATTCATAGCAGCATATTCCTTCTTTAGTTTGTGGAAATGGTGGATTATGTTTATTTTTAC